CTTCAGTGCTAAAAAACGTCTGTGCTTGCCAGGAACTTCCTCGGCCTCACACTTGAAACCATAGCAACACTATACAAAATGGTGGAAGTTTTGAAAAATCACAGACCATTGTTTAACAGAGGCGCAAAATGTATTTTGTTCTTATTGTTTTACTCTTGCATACTTGCCAAAATTTGGCCGCAAACTCTATATTTCGTTGCAAAAATGCATGTAGCTGGGCTGCAATGGTGTTGATACTTGTGTTGGGCGGTAAGCATCGATATTTTTCGTTTAAGTTTGCATGACAGCCGTCGGTAGTGGATAAAAGATATCACGCCCTTCAGACATTCTTTCAAAGTTAAGGCCATTTTAATTCATGTATACCGTTGCTACGGATTCACAAGGCGGCATAATGTTGTCATTTGGATATGCAGAGATCATTCAGCTCTGGCACCATACACTTACAATACTCTTTAACCTTTACTAGAAGGTTACTGTTCAGAGTGTCATCGATTGAAGACCATTGATATCCTTAAGAACCATTTCACGATTCTCCTTTATTGTACTACCAATGACTTTCAAGTATTCTTTGCTCGGTTTTAAGTATGTTTTAACACCATTTGTATATTTTTCCGTTCTCAGGGAGAATTGGTGGCCATTAAAAGATTACATAAGGACTCCATACATCGGACACGCGACATTTTGATAGAGATGAAACAAGTGAGTAGACGATACCCAATCTTCTTGTGTTTATGACAATAATTTTACAATACAGGATAGAGGCCCTTGTAATTGACTCTTCCACTTTGGGGAACCTTCCAACTGAAGAGAGTTCCGTCTTCCTTCGAGTAGTAAAGTCAACTGAGTTGATAATGCGTATTGGCCACTAAAGTGAGATGTTTCGAGCTTTAGACCTTTTTCGCTCGGACGAAAGGCAACCACTCGACAATTCACATTTAGTTATCAACTCAGCCAAATATTCTTGTAGTACCCTACAACGACGCAGCAAAAAACCTTTCCCCCTACATTGATTTAGCGAGACCATGAATTTAACAGATGTTTTATCAAAAGAAAAAAAATGAGGCCTGCAATACCTGAAAAGGATCCAAATTGGTATACATATTTATCATATTTGAAGAAATGAATCAGCAATACCACTTTAACTGTTTTAGAAATTTTTAGATGTGTTAGTGTATCGTGTATGCAAAAGAAAAACCGTTCCGTGACGTTTCCTATTTATCAGGTACGTGATATTGTCCACACAAATATCAATCCTTATATCGGGGTGTGCATCACATCCCCAAATGTCAGCATTATTTCCCACTACTGCTACCGTGGCAGCTTAGAGGTGAGGCATCAGTTAAGTGATATACTTAATAGGAAAATTTAGCATTCGAAAGATTTCATATTATGAAAGAGAAAACCATATCTAAATTCTACTATTTAACACCCCTATTGCTACGGGCAAGGTAAATTCATGAATGTTGCAACCAAAAAGCAACCAATTTCACTTCGTAAAATTCGTTAACAATTAAAAGGAAATTTCTTTCCACTTTCCATCTATTTAATAACTTGGTTAAACCATCGATGGTTCATTTTTTTTTTTTTGCCTTTTGTAGTGATGTCTCCTCTCAGTTTTAAATTATTGATATCGTTTGGTTTTCCAGGAAATTTTAGCCAACCACGATATAAAACTCGACTGGTTCTTCCGAGCGTCTTTTGCACAGGACATTGCCATGGTAACTATATCCATTTAATTTGTCATGTCTGTAATTCAACAGTGAACAGAATATGTTTTGAGTTTCTCAGTTTAAACATTTAGACACAGTTACTGAAGCAGCCATATATGTTATTCACCAGCATAGGTCGGTCCGTATTGGGAAAAACTGTGCCCGAGGTCTTGGATACCGCCCGAGGCCGTACTCAAGATCTTTTATTAACCAAGCTTGCTCGGGACCGTACTGGAAGAATATCGGCCCTCGGTCTTTTTTGTATGGACCTCGCTGCGCTCGGTCCGTACTGTCAAGACCCCGGGCAGATATTCTCCCAGTACGGCCCTCGCGTCTGGTTAACAAGATATATGTACTGGTGTGACAAACACACACGGAGATCTTACGGAAAGTATTGTTTATTTCCAACGACGATTAATCTTCGAAGATTTACCTCTGTTCCGTTTTAAAATGTCACGGAAAGTCAAATTGTAAGTGAATGCAAATGTGTGTTAGTCTGCCTGTTCGTCTTCTGCAATGGTGTGTGTAAATCTGTCTTTCTTCGACTAGAAAGCTGAAGTCAGTGAGGCTCTTTCCAGCTAGACACAAGGGGATTTAATGCGACTTTTATTCTTCAAATTCCTCCGGTTTCTGATGGGAAACTTACGGTAGAAATGTCCAAATTCAAGGGATTTGCAAAGAATAGGCGAAAGTGTATTTATAGAAGAACTCAAAACTTTGCTCAACGTTTCACAAACGAACAAATTGTGTTAAAGAAAACAGATATTAACGAATGAGAGTCACATTGAATAATGTAATTGTTAGCTGCAACCACCTCTCGTAACTTCCTGAGTTACTTTTTGTGAAGGATTATTAAATAAAAAATTGTTTTTAGGCTGCGTTTCAATCGTTTTCAAAACAAATTTAGGACCACCAAATTTATTTCCAAATCAATTTTTGCAGAAAAAAACATTGTGATTTGAGAGCAAGAGAGACGAAAGAATGAATATTGTTTATCGCCAAAAGGTCGTGACCGAAGTCTTTGCTCAAACATTCTGTCCGACCAGCAAAATGAGATATATTTGTGAAAACCTGCAACGAAGCTTAAGATGTTTTGCAAAATGACTCGAGCGAAACGGATACCGCCCGCTGTGAGCGGGCCGGATGGGGAGAATACTGCCCGCTCTGGGAACCAATCAGATTGCAGGATTTGTAGAATACCGCTCGCTCACGAACTGAGAAAAAAATGAAAATACATATCAGCAGTTCTCCTTTCCTTTTTCAATCAAGCCTCAGGGAGTTTTTACAAGTACTTGATTTTTGATCTACATTATTCGACATCGCCTTTTGTTAAATACCTAGACTTCCACTCAACAAAACGAGCATCGTGATTGGTTGATTCTTGGTCACATGCCTCTGATAAAATTCAAATGAATCTCGACCGGGATACAATTGCGCAGTTGCTGCCCGCGCGCCGAATACAACAGCATGTTTTGCCATATGATTGATTAGGGGAATAATGGAGATCACGTGACTAAGGTACCCGACACCCTCAGGAAACAACTATGACGAGTCTCGACTAAAGCCTATGGTTGGGGTTGGGGTTGCAGAAATCACGTCAGTTCCATTGACCCTTTTCCAGTATTTAGGGTTAGGGTTAGATTTGGGTTAGGGTTAGGGTTTGACCATCCATAAGTCACGTGACAAGCATTCTCATTGCACTCCAGAACCCTGGGGCGACTAGCCACATGGTACTGGTCTTGCTGAGCCCAAAAAATTTGCACTAACCTGATAATTTAAAAACTGACCATCCCCCTTACCTGCACTTTGTGTTCTAATCCCAAATTGAGCCCTGCATGGCTTTTGACAACTACCCTTCCCCTCTAAATCCTTATCCTTTACTACGATTTACACAAAACTTTCTAGTTTTACTAGTACCACAACTAGTTAACAGCTTGCATAGTTGGCGACATCAAAATAGCAATATAGTGACAAAAGGAAGTTTTTATTAAGAGAAAGTCTACCCATATAACGAAGCCGTTAATTTTTGTTCCTTCGGGAACTAGTTAGTTTTGTTTTCCCTCGAGTCCTGATGTTTCCCGAGACGAAGTCGAGGGAAACATCAGGACTTTAGCGAAAACAAAACTAACTCTTTCCCACGGGACCATAAATTAAGTGTATAATGTTAAACATCGAACAACAATTACATCGCAAATGTTAGACTCTAGATTGAGACCGATCTCATCTTGGACTTAGGCCCATTAATTTTACTATAACTTCTCGCCAGCTGATCTGACCTGATTGCCAGTATTATTGCTTAAACAAATAAATTGAAAACGCTCGAGAATTCTCCTTTCCTCATTTATATTATTTCTAACATTTTTGACAGGGTTTATCGGTTCTTCACGCCTCCCCTGTACACGTACATGGTCATCTAAGGTCATCCAAATGCTTGATTGACAGTCGTTGGGTTTGTAAAGTATCTGACTATGGGCTTAGTGTATTAAAGGTTGGCCAAAGAGTACCTGATATCAGCGAACATGCTAAGTACAGAAGTGAGTTTTAATTAATGAAGCCACTTTTGCTTATACTTGCCTTAGAGCTCTTCAAATTGAGATATTCTACTATGTTTGAAGACTTATATTTGCTTGTTCATATTTGCCGCAGAATTGTTCTGGACTGCTCCGGAATACCTTTGTGAAGATGCTATTCCTCGTTGTTCGCAAGCGGGTGACGCATACAGTTATGGGATCATCCTCAGTGAACTTCTCAATAGAGAGGAACCATATTCTTCACTTTGCATGGATCCCAAAGGTGAGTGAGAGAATCAATAGCAGTTTTGTGCATCTGCAGAGAGCAAATCCTACCCCCAGTCAAGCGAATTACATATTATAAAAATCATCACCTTCAAAAGCCGAATTTGGGAATATTTCTCCATGTGCAGAGTTAAGTAAAGGTTAGGAAAATCTCAAAATTATTTGAGTCGCTGAGTCGCTCATTGTGTTAAGTTTACTTTGTAAAACGTCGATCCAAAAAGTTTTTGTCTAGAATACAATACTACCTTTACCAAACCTTTTAAGCACTGCATGGATGTAAAGGTTCCTGTTAGGAAAAATTCCTTTCCCCCAAGCTTACGATATCTCAGTTCAAGGAAAATAGATACAGTATTTTGTGCCATCCTGTCAATGAAGAAACCGTAAGGCATTGTAGTAGTCTCTTACTTGTTGATAGCTTAAAAATAGTCTTACCTTTTTGCCTTTCCTCTAGATGTCATCGAACAAGTGAGGAAACGTCTCATTCCTCCTATCCGACCTGATTTACCGAGTGAAATTGGAAACAACAAAGGCATAATCCACTTGATGCAAACATGCTGGGATAACGACCCTTTAATGAGGCCAGCATTTTCCGAAATAAAGTCAAAGTTAAAGTCTCTCACTCGCGGAAAGTAAGATATTCTGACGCTTGGTTTTGACGGGTTTTAAGTTGCTAAAGGGAGACACAAGCTGATAGTAGTAAGATAAAACTTGAAAGGGCTTCAGATTCACACCAATTATCATTGTCGCCATGAAAATTTCAGCCAAGGTAACCCAGGACACGGAATCGGAGTGCGCATGTCCACACCCAAAACAACCTTCCTGATCACAACGAATATGCACGCATGTGAAGTGTAACACTGAACAAGTTATTTTGATGATTCAAACACATACAAAGGTTTAAATGTGCCAGGTAAGTGTGTTTCATCGCCACATCAAATCGTTGCAAGTAGTCAATTGTTTTTCGCTCACTGATATCATCATATGAAACAGGAAAACAAAAACAAAACATGTGTCAGTCGAAGGAGGTAATATGTGAGATCCCCACATCCTCATTAAAAATCTTTTTTTTTTATCATTTTTTAGGAATGCTAACATTGTAGATAATATGATACGTATGATGGAGAACTACACAGACCAATTGGAAAATCTCGTAGACGAAAGAACAATGCAATTAGCGGAAGAAAAAGCTAAAACGGACGAGCTTCTTTACAAAATGCTTCCTAAGTAAGTATAAGGACGTTTAGCTTACACACCCTGTAGTTGAGCATCAAGCATTGGATTCAGTTTGGCCTTATTGTTTGATGACATACTCAAAATTAAAAGTAGGAGATATTTTTTTCACCAATTGCCTCGCCATCAGAGCAAAGTGCAACATGATGGAGTCTGTGGCGAGCAGTTCGAAGTAGTCCGACCAAACCCTATCAACGCCTGATGTTCTTGCACAGCTAGACATTTGTGATAATTTAGTTCATTGCATGTAGAACAAAATGCCGCACCGGTCCTTTTCATTTGAATAATTTTTCTTTCTAGCTTCTCATTTTGGATGTCCCCTCTGTTTCTAGACCGATTGCAGAGGATCTTAAGCTGGGAAGATCAGTTACAGCAGAAAGCTTTTCCTCGGTGACAATTTACTTCAGTGATATTGTTGGCTTCACGTCTATGGCTGCTCAGTGCACACCACTACAGGTTATTAACCTTTTTTTTTTTCGACAACCATTTTTTTAGAGTGCCAGTGTTTATAAATCCTCATTAAGAATGCAAGCCTAAGAAAGAAAGGACTAAATTTATAGCGATTGTTTCGAATTGCTGATGTCATACTTTAAAAATGAGGAGATTGTTCTATCATAACAAACTGATTGATTTTTCGTAGGTAGTACATTTTCTGAACGACCTCTATACCTGCTTCGATAATGTTATTGACTCTCATGATGTTTATAAGGTGAGCTATCTTTAATATTTGACCTGCAACATGCAATACGTCTGGCAACTTCTGGCCTTCCCTTAACCAATCAATTCGTTGAATAAGTCACCCAATGTGCAACATGTTTATTAGAGATATACTGATTTATACGTACTTTTTCGTCTGTTTCTTTAATGGTGAAAGAAATCTATGTTGTCGAATTATGAACAACAGGTCGAGACAATTGGTGATGCTTACATGGTAGTATCAGGTTTGCCGATCAGAAACGGAAATAAACATGCTGGTGAGATCGCCACTATGGCGTTAAACCTCCTCAGCTCAACCAGAGACTTTACTACACAACACATGCCAAATAAAGGGCTTCAGTTACGGATTGGGATTCATACAGGTCAGTATGCCCTTAATGTGCAGAGGACATGAAACTGCGAATGTCTGCATTTGGTATGATGCTAGCGGAGGCTTAGAATTCGGCTTAGAAAACGCAGCGTATAATAATCTTAAAACACCGCAAAGAAGAAGTTGAAGCATTTGCATTTGGTTTCTTTCACCAATTTACTGATGCACTGGAATCTTGCAGAAGGTAACAAATGTTTGTATGAAGGGATAATAGAGTTGGTGTAATCTACAAATGCTCTGGAATTTTGCTGAGAAACAGATTCATCCTTCGTGTATGACTATGTTACTGTGTCCATTGTTTACCTTTACTAATTCGTCAAGTCCAAAAACTATGGTTGTTGGATGAATGTTTTATCGCTTCTCTTGAGATATGCAAATTTCTTCAGAATAAACCGTTACAAAAGTGTAATCCTCAGTAAACGTTTTGTGCACGTCAGCATTTCCAAGTCCTGCAGAGTTGTTAATAACAAATTAACGAGCGAGCAGAAAACTAGAGGATCGAAGCTTTCCATCTGTTAACAATTAAAATTTTTGCACCGGGCTACGTCGAAGGGAAATTACAAAAAACTTATCATATTATGTTCTCTGTTTGCATAAAGGTCCGTGTGTAGCTGGAGTCGTAGGACTCAAGATGCCTCGTTACTGTTTGTTTGGAGACACTGTGAACTACGCTTCAAGAATGGAGTCTAGTGGACTTGGTGAGTATTTATTTTTGTTGTAGTTGTATTTTTTTTTTCATTTTCTTTTAACAACTATCAAAATTATGATTACGACAACAATCCAAACAACTCTTGTCTGGGGAACGTATGTTTTAACGGAATAGATTAGTATATCAGCCGATTCTATAGCTCGAGTGTTAAAGCAAACAAAAGCCGGAATGATAATTAAGATGACAATAACAATAATAGTATAATAATAATAATAAAAATAATAATAATTTTGACAGCATAAAGCGATGATACAACTTTATTACATGCAATCTAAATCTTACTTACGCACTAAACATTGCTAAACAATATCTTTTGACACTGTAAAACTTTGTATGTGTAACTCTTTATATGTGTAAAAATATATTAAATATGAATTATTTGAAAATTGAAAAAAGAAACAGACTCGTAATCTTTCTATACAATGAAATAACTTCAACAAATTAGTAGCTTTAACAATTAATATTAAAAAAAACTTAATTCTTAGCCATCCTCAACTTGTGCAGAAGGGCCAATTGAACTTTTATTATAAGCAAAAGCCAAAGGTAGTTAATGAAACAATAGTCAAGTACCATTAAAATATGGCGGGAAAAAATCTGTGGTCAGCTATTCAACCTTATTCCCAGGGTCTCTCATCTTCCCGCCCCCTGGAGTGAGAGAAGAGAGACCTTGGTTTGGCCTGGTCACGTGTTCACGGAGCAAAAACATTCCTTAGGGACGAGTCGTTTGTTTGCTCACTTTTTGCCTTATTTCCTTTGTCCTCTTCGAATCGACGCTATCATTGTTCAGTTTGCCATGTTTTATAGTAGCCTTCAAGTCGCTATATCTCGGAGTAGGTATTGTAACCTCAATTTAAAACCCAAACAAGTCCTGTGTTTAGAAGCGATATATTCGGGTAGAGATGTTGTTCCCGTTTTACCGACGGAATAGAGGTTTTGCACAGCAGCCATGTTGGATGGCAGGAACAATAGATTATTTTAACCATGGGGAAAAAATTTCTTTCTTATGCAAAATATTTTCATTGTTCCTGCCATCCAACATGGCTGCCGTGCAAAACCTCTATACGGCAGCCGCAGATTTATTTGTGATCAAATAAACACTGGCACGTCAAATTATGTAAACAAAGGAAAGCGAACAAGTACACACAATCGCGTGCACATTTTTCCTCTTCTGCTAAACGAAATAAGTACTAGAAAAAGAGAGATCGGTTAAACGAGCCCAAAAAAATGTTTCTACGAATTTTCATGGACATCTTCTTCCCAAAAATCTCCGACAGCGGCTAAGTCAATCAAAAGTAGCTCATTAGGAAAGAAATTTGTCACCTTTCGTAAAAATGCACGCAACTCGGAAGCGGCAAAGAAGTATATGGGACCGTCGAGAGTGCATTTGTGTTGGTACTGTAACGAAATTTAGACCGCGACGGCTTCTCCCCTTAGATTCCCTTGCACTCTTGGCCAAGGTGCGTGGCACAGGTGGTGATATTTCTGTACATCGCTTCACTGTTTCAAAAGAACTCTGACTTTCACTGATCACCATTTGAAGGAAATAAAATTTTTGAAGCGTCTTTCGCAAGGCCTACATAATAGCTGTGGCAAAAATTTTCCTTGTCTCAACGGTCGGCCATAAATGTCCTCCGCAGCGGCAAGCAATGCGCGATTTCCTTTTGCATAAATGTTCTTCGAGCAAGATACATCTCCAACTGATTTACAAAGCCTGCAACAACTGTTATTTACCGTAGTGGAAGATTTACTGATCTTTTTGGGCGTCT